AAATCAGGGACTGCTGCTCTCTCAAAGGCAAGATTTTGCTGCCTCAGCGAAGGTAGAATGGGAGCTTTGACCGCTCCAGGAAGCAAAATTTGCTCAACTGATTGATATCAACATTTGATATTTGGAAACTGCCAGCAAGCTTCTGTATGCCACTATCCCAAAAATGCACAAGGTAGATCACAGTTGTCCTTGGCAGGTTTGGACCTCAGTAAAGGGGGAGATAATGCACATTCACCCCAGAAGGCAAGGTCAGTCCTCTCTGAAGAGTGGCATCTCCCAGCTGTCCCTGAGTGCAAAGCTGTCTGCTATAGTGGCAAGGCCACTCCACAGGGCTCCCGGGAACTCAGCAGCAGCAGTGGTTTCATTCTTCATCCTCAAAACAGTGATAAACTGACTTTCGACATTCAAAAGCATCTATATCACCTGCTTTTGAACGTCGAGCACTGTGCAGACCCCTACTGCAACCTCCACCACTGAACTCTTCAGCCAGGCAAAGCAACAGCTTGTGACTACAGCAGGATCGCTGCCTGTGTATTTATAGGCATAAAGACAGTCGAAGGCTTCATTCAGATAATTTCAAGTAATCTGTAAACACAGTAAGTAAACATACACATTGTATTTATTGAGTAGTGCAGTGGAAACTTCACCCTGATATGTAACTTATCTGGAGCCAGCAGGAGATAGCAGTGTAACCTGGGTAAGATCCACTTCTGTTTTTTGAGGTATCAGAAAAAAAAAATGTTATCACTGCACTTCAGAATAAGTCAGAAGCGTGCATCTTTACTGAGCTGACATCAGAACTGCTGCAATCTTTTTACTGAGAAATGTGAGAAAATTATACACCAAGAGAAAAGGTGACTGTACTAATGTGTTGTCCCAAGAAAGTGCTGTTACCATTTAGGTTAGTTAAAGGTGCAAGACTAAACAATTCAATGCTCCTCTGAGAGTATTCCCTACTACCAAAGGAGATGGTTGGAGACTGAAGCCAAAGATAGTTCAGTACAAATGCAATCTGCATGATGGGATGCTGGGTTTTTCTCAGATGACTAGAGCACACAGGCAGATCAGAAGGTGACAATCTACAGTGCAGCTGGGGCCAGAAAACAACCAAAATTCAACTTACAAAATGGAAAATTATTTGGGGAATTAAAATAATCAATTATGCAACAGTGGGGTTTTGAGAAATGCAAGCCAGGAAGCTTTTGATGAGTGAGAGCTGAAATACCAACCCTCGTCAGCATCTTTGACAGCTTCCACTACAGCTTGCTCTTGGGGATGTCCGAGTCCATCAAGTGTTGCCAGAAAAAGGCCTGTATCCTGTGCCATGCATCTTCTTGGGCTTTGGCATGCTCCCTCCATTGCCCTCCCCAAGACACAAACTCCCCAAGTACTCTGTGGATCGAAGCCTGGCACAGGGGCAAGTATGGTGGCTCCAAGAGGTGTCCTGCTCCAGAATAGGAGAAAAACTCCACCTCCCGTCCATACTGCTGAAGGCGCTGAACGGCATCCTGGCAATAGAGGTCACTTTTCCAGTTTGTGTCATCCAGTCCCGACAGGAAGAGGAACTTGGCCAAGGACCTCTCCATTGGAATGCGGCATTCCCAAGTCGCTGGGTCCCTGTGATCATCCAGGACATCTGAAAAATCTACTAGGCCAGACTCAGCATTGGTCTTCATCCTCCCCAAATCATATGGGTGTGCAGGAATAGTGAAGCCATTCCCCCGCAGAGGAATGAAAGAATTAAAACCACTTCCAGATATGCTGACAGCTGCCTTGATCCCAGGTAGAAATGTGGCCACGGAAAGGGCTAGATCAGCTCCTTTAGACAAGCCCAAAACGCCAATCCCAGTATCTTTCACCTGAAACACAGTTATGAAACGACCATTACCAACTACTCCTCATTTCCTGGGCTGACACAGTGTCTCCAGTTCTGATTCCTCACTCCTCATCCAAGTAAGACATATTAGCCTTCCCTCTCTATTCAGGCTACATCCCTCCCATATCTATCCCTTTGCTGAGAC